TAAAGGCCGAGGCTTATTCGGACTTTCCGGGTACGGAAGCCTATAGAAGGCTGATGCCTGTTGCCGGGGGCCAGAGAGTCCTTTGCACGCAGGTGTTCGAAATAGGCTCCGTACGTTTCGGACCTCTCCCCGGCACCGCATGGTGTACTCTCACTCTGCATGGCGTACTGAGAACTACTCCGTAGCGGAGCCAAAGTCTGATGGACGGAGCTAGGAGTCGAGGTCCCCGCCCCCCTGCCCATCAGAACATTTGAGGCCCGATATCCAAGGACGACTGATAGTCTGCTTTTTTTTTCTGGAAACGTGGGTCGTTTGGATTCGAGAGCTTTCGATCGCAGTTTTTCTCGCGGTTCGCGGTGTTTCGAATTCGACAAAAATCTCAAAGCTTTCGTTTTAAGTTTGGCACCGCAAGCTTTCGCTTTATTTTCTCAGGAAAGCAAGAACCCCTCGGAGCTAGGTCTCAGAGAAACGAGGCTCCGTTAACACTGCTGCTTCGTATCGAATGCTTGTGCCTCCGTCGCGACGTCAGTAAGACTTAAAACAAGGACATGATATAATTATTTTTTTAAATATATTTTAAAGACAATATCTCTTCTCGAGGTACTCGTGTACCACATCTCGAGCACACCTTCTCTTCAGCTAACCCGCATGTCCAAAACCCGCAAGGGTCATCGAATGACAGGAAAGCAGCGTCTCGTCTCCTTTCCCTCCGCGAGCCATACGCGCCCGTCTGGGTCTCGGCCCCGACGCCGTGGGGCATGTTCCCCCTCTCTTCTTCCTTCCTTTTCTCGCGTTCCCTCCGACGATTCCATCCGATCTGAACGACGAATGCTTTCGACTCGCCCTCGACTTGGATCCAGGTTACGTTTCCCTAGACGAGCGCTCGGCTGAAATGCCTCGTCGAAGGCGCCGATGTGTCGCTTTTTCATTTTTCGAGGGTCGGTTCGGATCCCCGATGGAATTTGGCCCCCCCCCCCCCCCCCCCCCCCCCCCCTTCGCTTTTCTTCCTCGCGAAGGGAATCGGGACGGCAGGATGTTCCCTTGCATTCGTTCGCGTAGGGAAATGATGGAAGCCTTTTCCCTTTCTGCCCACAGCATTAACTGCAGCAAGAAAAAATACTGCATGAACGGAAAATGAAGTCTTCCGTGGTGGGTTTCGTAGCTCGCACGACTCGTTTAAACGTCAGAGCGGGAGAAAAAAAGCCGTCCGAAAAGCCGGATTTTGTGCCATTTCTGCTCTCTTCCGTCCCGATCGAACGGGGAGCGCGGGCCTCACTCGCATTCGAAAGCCACTAGGCCTAAGTCGATTCGCTCGGCAAAATCATTCGACAGTCGTTCCTTGTGGAGCCCGATGTCCTCGATTTCGAGTTTCTCTTTCCTTGCCTGAAAGCATGGATTAACACGGACACGTGTTAGGCCTCTCGGAAAATTCAGGGTTGCCGGAAAAGGGAAGAATAATACTCTCATATGAGCGAATTTTAATCGCTTCATGTCGCATTATTCTACCTTACTCCATGTCATAAATTACTTTTTCTATTATGATAAAAAAAAATTGAAATGCTTCAGGCGAAGTGCTTCAATCGATGCAGGGAATCGCGATTCCCAAATCAGTGTTTTAAATTCCCCCATCTGGCATCCCTGTCACCCACGAAGCTGGTCACCTTCGAATCCGCTAAAACGCGCTTCTTCCACGTTTCAATAATTATCACGATTTATTCTTTCCGTATCTCCGTTCTGCCTGTGCGTTACACGTCGTGACACGTCTGCTTTCGTTATCCGACGATAATAGTGATAAAAATCCTCTCGGTGAATAAAAAATCGAATTTCCGGCCTACAAACCCGCACGAGCCCGACACCTCATCTCGCCTGCGGATCATTTCGCAGCGATCGACGTCACGAGACAGTTTGAAAAACCGACATTGCAGAAGGAAAAAAGGATTTTATCCACTTTGATTCCGACCGCTCTCATCCTCCTTTTCAGCTGCGTGACGTCATTTTTTAAAACTAACTTGAAGCCGGTTGGTGCCTAACTTCGGCCTCAAATTTTTAAATGCGTCTTTGCCCAACAAAGACGAGAACAATCATAAAAATTACAAAATTACGTTCCTTTATTAGCAATTACTAACTTAAAAGAGAAGGCCGACGTTGCTCGAACTCTTCAGCATTTTTCACCGTAATTCGATTATAGTACTGGGAACGGGCGAGGACGGTCTCGCGTCTCGGCTGATGCCACCTCGTCCGCGAGAAGAGGCCCGAATGCTACGTTGCCAAACCCACGCAGCGTTGCCGCACTCCTCCCGCCCTGACGAAAAGCGCATGGTATCTCGGTAACGGTGGAGCAGAGAAAGCTGAAATTGCACGCGAGTATTCAAACTCATCGGCTTCGTGTCGGTCGACCGACCCGAACTGCAACCGAAGTCCCATTTATACTCCCGAAAGCATTTGGCAATGTACAAAATACGCCGCAGTGGCGCTCCAAGTGGCAACCGTGGCATCTTCGAGCGCATGGTCCCATTTCAGTTTCCTCCGTCTCACCATTTTCGAGACGTCATGCACCGAAGTCTTCCTTCATGACCCATCCGTGCAAAGCCACCTCAGCCACCTAAGCCACCTCAGCCGTGTCCATCCCGTAGGAACGAAGGCCTCCGAGGCCCGCCCTTCAGGTCTCCAGCGCTCGGGCTTTTTTTGTGTCATGGGGTTCGAGTTGGGCTTCACTTTCCAATGCAAATATAAATATTGAAGTCATGATGTAAAAAATAATATATATTGCGGAAGAACTCGTATCGACCTGCATGCGTTTTCTTTCGTACTCTTTTTTATTGCTATCTTGGGCTTAACCCAGTACCGTAGCCAATACTTTTTCAGTGAGCCGATCAAGTTCTACGGCGGCCTAAAAATTAAAACCAAAAGGGCGTTATGGGGGAAAGGTTGGGTGGGGCAAGAGAGACAGATGGAGGGAGCATAGTCTCCATCCTCAGGTATGTCACTGGCCTACCCCAGGGCGTGACCTACCCACGAGCCGCCACGTGCGTGGCGGGTCAATAGGCTCCATTGGAAACTTCCCAAGTTGTAACAGTTGGGGATCCCGTCTCAGCCCCCCCCCCCCGGCCCCCGCCCCTTCTTCTCAATGTCATCTCTCATTAGCGTCAACTTAGTAACAAACGTTCGCAAACGATCGATCGGGAATGAACCGAATGTGTACAAAATCTGGAAGCCTGACATTCTGGACGTCGTCAAATCGATTCCGGACATGGAGCAACTTTCAGCCCTTACCAACGATAAGGGCATTTCAAGTAGAACGAAATGCAACAGTCTATATTTACGCTCGGGCCGAATCACGTCACGCAAGCCCAAACATCAACCGAATACAAGTTTACGCAGATAGATCGCTTGCCTCACCGAAAAACTCGTACCCGTGATCAAGCTACGCAAATGAGAACGTGAAATGCCGAAGAGAGAGTCCATCTAAGAGCAAGGAACGCTTGTGGACTTTTATCATGAGACGGAACGGAATCTTCGGGAGGAAAAATCTGAAAGCCGCAGAGCTGTTAGAATCGATCGGATTCGAGTGCTCTCGCACCTTGCCGCGGTTACCGAAAGGTCATAAAACGAGCTTGCTGAATCGTTCCTTGCAGACACTAAACTAAGCGCGTGCATTTAATCCATTACGTTTTCATTCACCCCCGCTCGTTTGAAGGCTTGTAAGGCTGGAGACTGCATTTCAGGCGTGGAACGAAGACGACGGTCAGGAATCAGTCGTTTATATCGTTTTCTCCTTCACGCGGCAGCTCGAAACATCGTGGCGGAAAGCGAGAATATCGGAGTCGTCTTTGAGAGATCCTCTATGTCCCAGAGACAATGGGCAATAAGACTGATGAGGGACTCGGCTCTCACCAGGCAAAGAGAATCAGAGTAATACATGTACGAGAATAAACATGCACATCTCAAAAACAAAAGACGCACTATGTCCCCAAATGTATTGTAGTTCCGAACACCTCGTCCCAGTGGCCTATTTTACCTCACAAGCGGGGGAAGGGGGGCAAGGTAAAAGAAAGGGGGCTGCTGGGCAAAGGTTCTCAGGGGCTAAAAAAAAAATCCTTCCAGGTGCTCCACTTCACCAGGCACTTCGCTCTTCAAATGTCAGCTCACTCCCCATTAAGGTAGTAGGAGAGGAAAAATCGACCGTCTGGGATTCGAAATCGCATCGCCCAGTAGTCTAATTTCACCACGTTATCATCTATAGGCGGCTTAGGGAGAACTCGATAAACTGAACACGCGTTTCACCCTTCCCTATGAAACGAAGTCTCTATAAGATTCCGTCGGTTTGATTTGTGGTCTGAACTGTTCCCAGCAAACCGGGGATGGACTAGAATGATCATACTTCGCCGTAGACCATCAGACAGAACGTTCGCTCGAACAAAATCACACAGAAACGTTTAAATCATATGAAAATCGTGCAGATGAAAACGGAGAGCCAAGGTAATTTAATTTCCACAGTTTTCTTAAAATGGAAAAAATTTCCCCCATTTTTCATGCCTGTTTTCGTCATTCTGAGCATCAGAGTCCCAAGTTCGAGTGTGCAGTGTGGCAAGCGGGTACCGATCAACCTATGATGCTGCTAACGACACCTAGTGGTGGAAGTAGATACAGCAAACAGTGCAATTTTTGATTTGCTGAGAAGCCAAAAAAATTGACAAATCAAAAAGTACGTGGGAAACCGTACTTTTCTAAAAAGGTCAATATCCAAAACCACTCGGAACATCCTCGACGAGTCCTTGCCCGATCGAATGATATACATGCTTAAATTTCACAAATTTCATTCACAACATAGTGAACAACAATATTTCTTAATACGATTGCACCAAATACTTACGTTTCTATAATCCGGTCTCGAAGAGGCTCAAAACAAGATTAACCGACGGAAACCCATTAAGCCGACAGATGAAGGATTGCCACGACTATGTTGGACCAAACTTGGCCAAATTGGGGGGAGATGCAGCCTACAGCCCTAGAAGAAGACATCGAGGATCTTCCACAGCTTGTTTGATCTTCCTGAGGAAGGTCACCGCCTCTCTCCCGTCGATCAGCCGATGGTCGTAGGTCAATGCGACGTACATCATCGGTCGGATCACCGCCTGCGACAGAGAAGAGATGCATATTTTATCGACCTACTTTTCGTTCGTTGCACTTGAATTCCACCAAACTTAGGTAACAAGATTTTTGGGGCACTGAGGGATTTCGTTATAAAATCATACATGTGGGGCATGTAAAGTACCATTCCTTTTGAGATCCATCAATGATGAAGCATCCATCAACAAAACAAAGTAATTCAAGACACACTAGTGGCTGTAACTGCAGTTGCTCCTGTTACTTACAACACTACAATTAGTAATTTTTGTGGCCACTCTTTCCTGTTTTAACCCTTGGGTCCAAACTACTACAGCCTTTGTTATTTCTTTCCACATTAAAGACAAAGAATAAAGTTACCATAATGGTGAATATGGAATGGCTGGTCATTTGACTCCCTATCCTATTACATGTAGATACCTCATGAATACCCACAGGTATGCATGAAGTATCTACATGTAATAGGATATTGTACATCGATCCCTCCAACAAACAGGCACGAAAGAGGAGAAATTAGCTTGCAAAATTGCCACTGAAACTTGACTTCATTATGTGACATGCTAAGGTTCTATTCATACTTCAGCTGTTAGGAGAATGAAAACAAATATACAATTATTCTTTCTCAATGGTGAAATACACCAACTTAGACAATGTGATAAGTGACCATTCTCCACACGAAGAAAAAGGGTGCATGTATGATTCAACTCTTCACAAAGATTGTTTCTCTCTCCAACCCCATCATTCTAGCATTCATACTAAGGAAAGAGTATGGAGACTCCAAGGATGCCCCCATCATTTGAAGCATATTTTAATTCAATATTAAATTTGCTCAGGGTACCAATATATTTAGCCTTTAATATGCTCACTTGGTAGAATTCAAAAGAAAAGATATTTAATCACCCAAATATAATAACGAACTTGTCACCAAATATAGACTCCCCACAGAATTATAGACTCTGCTATCAGATCACAATGAATCTTCATCAAATTAGTCAGTCATCACATTTTTATTTTGACTTCACCAAATATAATTGCACCATCTGAACTTGTCACCAAATATAGACTCCCCACAGAAATATAGACTCTGCTATCAGATCACAATGAATCTTCACCAAATTAGTCAGTCATCACATTTTTATTTTGACTTCACCAAATATGATTGCACCATCAGGAGTGCTGGTATCACCAAATTTGCATTAGCCTGGACCCAAAATATGCTCTCATCATCAAACTTATGAATTTTTCAGCATTTGCAACCCTATGAAGGTTTCCTAAAGGTCAATTTAACCACTACCGTTCTACTCTAACAGTCTAGTTAGTACGAAACCCCCGAAAGTCCCATCCTGGGTACATTGATCACTTGAACACGTGAACACTTGTTCATACCCTTAAGTATATAGCACTGATTTCCAGTTTCTGTGTGCTCTATGTATTAGAGGTTCCATGGCAACCAGAGAGTTTGAGGGCATGAAAAAAAGGAGATGCCTTCATTGCCTGCAGTGATGGCATTGCCACAAGCAAGAAGTTCATAAAAGTGCAAAAGAATATCTGATCAGAAAACTGGAGCATTGGGAGAACTTGAAGAGAACAAGACTCTGAGTTATGAGGGCTCCACATTTTGAATGCACATGCCCAGTTTGGATCAAGACTGGCATTTGCAAACATTCACTCCGAATACTGATTCACTGATGGGATAGTTAAGTGTCCTCTGTCTGGGCCTGCTAAAAAGAAATTATTCCTTTTTATACATGAAATGCGACAAATGATTTGATGCTAACTCAATAAAATTTGATGGTCATCTCATTGCATCTGGTGAAAATAATGAGGGAGAACTTGGTGTTAAATTCATTAAGTCTGGCAGTGAAATCGTTTGTGAAGGTAATATTAATTTTATGATATAAAGTCATTGAGTGACCAAATAAAATCTGGTGATGAATTATTACTTCTTCATGACAGATTCAACATTATTTGGTAATGAATTAAATACTAATAATTCAAAAGTGGCCTTGGACATGAAAGCATAAGTGGTGATCCTAAAAGACAGGACTTCAAGAATGACTATTCCACAAAATTAAGTAACTCTTTTCAAACCTAGTTTGTCCATGGTTCACAAATCAGCAGCAAGATTTGAACTTGTGCACCAGATGGACAACA